CCTCATGTCAGATGCTGCTAGTAGTGCCCCTGGCCCGATATGCCCCCAGGATGTTCACGGAGGCCCCCGCGGCCTCCGGGGCACCCGTCGGGAGGGCCAGAGGGCCCCAGGAACTCCAAAATTGAGCGAAAGTTGGGGGGGCACCTCGGGCCAGGGGCACCCGTAGCACCCCCCGATCACAGGGGGGGAAAGGATCGGCCCCCCAATCGCCTATTGAGATGGTATTTCGGTCGGTGCCGCCGACCCTAGGAAGTCGACCCCCCAGGTGAAGGAGGCGGCAGGTGTTCGGGAAGGTCGGGATCAGCCGCTCCCAAGAGCCCTCGAGGCTTCAGAGTAGGGCGGTACGCCCCGGGGAGGGGGCGAGGGGGGCAAGCCTGCACGGAGGGCGGCGGGGCTTCGCAGAGGGCCCGGGAGGCCTCTCGCCTCGCGAGCCTTCTGGGGAGGCCCACCGTGTCTGCGGGACGAGCAGCGCGCGCCCACGCCCATGGGGGGGGGGGCGGAGGGAGCTGTGGGTGCGTGCTGTCGGATGGAGCTCCCCGCTCGAACGGGGATCCCACGTTTTTGGAGACGTTGGTGGCGCAGAGGGCGGGTCATTCCGGGTGGCCGGCGCGGCGCGCTGGGCCGGAGCCCCAGGGGGAGTTCTTGTGAGGAAAACCAAAACCAAACCAGTAGGATCTAGCACGCCAGGCACCTCTGTGGCAAGACCACAGGGGGCGGCGGATCGAAGACGCCTGCGGCGAATCACCGCCGCCCCCTGCCTTTTTGGAAGCGCCTATGTGGCCGAACGTTGAGGCCAGACCTGCCAAGCTATCGGACCACGTGTTCCCCGAATCGGTTTGGAAAGCCTTCGGGGAACACGTGGGCATCTTGAAGGTCATCTTGGCCGTCTTGGAGGCCTCTTGGGCAAGCTTTGGGCGATCTTTGGGGCTTTTTGGGCCGTCTCGGGCCAGCTTCGAGCCAACTTCGGCCATCTTGGTGGGTTCCTGGCACGTCTGAAGCCGTCGGAAGCCGTTTGGGGGGCCTCTATGGGCCGACTTGGGGCCCGCTTGGAATGCTCCAGGGCCGTCTTGGAGGCCATCTTGGGCGTCTGGGAGGCCATCTTGGGCGTGTTGGAGGCCTCTTGGGCCCTCTTGGGGCCCTCTAGGGGCCATCTTGGAGGCCACTTGGGCCATCATGGGGCTCTCTTGGGGGCCTCTTGGGCGATCTTGGGGGCTTCTTGGGCCGTCTTGAGCCGTCGGAGAGCCGAAAAGGCGCAAATGCCAAAATCCTTCAAAAACCAAGGGAAAATCAATGATTTTGGCCTCTTCGGACTCTCCTGGAGGACCTCTTGGAGGCCTCTTGGGCCGTCTGGGAGGCCTCTGGGGGGCCTCTTGGGCCGTCTTGGGCCGTCTTGGACTCTCTTGGGCCGTTTTGGAGGCCGTCTTGGACCATCTCGGGCGGACTTGGAGGCCATCTTGGGCCATCTTCGCGATTTTTTGAGGATGTCCCGAGCGAAACGGCCGTTTTTGGGCATTGACAGACGGATTTTCGGCAATTTACGGGTGGCCAGCGGGACGGGCCGAAGCCCAATGGGGAGTTCTTTTAGAAAAAGAACCAAAACCAAAACCTGAAATATCCAGCACGCCGTGCACCCCCGGCGGATCTTGTTGCCTTCGGCCCATTGCGCCACCGTGCCTGGCTTGTCGGTCAGAGGCCCCTTGGATGCCTGTGAGGACCTATTGGGCGACCTCTCGGAAGCCTCTTGGAGGAGGTTTCACGGTGTTTTGGGACGTCTCGGGGACTCTTGGGGTCTCTTGGGGGCCCGATGTGGGGCTCTCGGGGCCTCTTGTGGTCCTCGTGGGGGCACCTCGGGGCCTCTGGGGGCCATATTGGGGCGGAGGGCTCCAAATATCAGTCCGTGTTCCCCGCTTGGGGCTGTCTTGGGGGCCTCCTTGGCCCCGCGTTTCGGGGCGATCTTGGGCGCCTCGTTGGCCGTCTTGGACGCTCTCACAACCAAAAGGGCGGCAATGCTACAAGCATGCGAAAATCACCAGATTGACGATTTTGGCATCTTGGGCCGCCCTCAAGCGCCTGCAAGACGCCATGTTGGACGTGAGAGTCTCGAACAACGCGCCCCTGGTCTCTGGAGAAGTCACCCGGGGAACTCCTGGCCGCGCCCGGGAGCGCCCGGGGCCACTTATAGAGAATTCGCAGGGCCCTGAGAAGACTCCACTTCACTTCGTGCCTCGAGGCACGGTGGCGGACCCGCCAGTATATATTTGAATGTTGCATGGGAAAACGTCTGGACGGGGGGTCATGGGAACAATGGGCCGCGGAACGAGAATGGTCACTTGCAGACAGTGATGGGGGTTGGAGGAGGAGGAGGAGGAGGAGGAGGAGGAGGAGGAGGGGAGGAGGGGAGGAGGGGAGTGATGGGGGTTGGCAGCCTAGAGGCGCGGACAGGCAGCCTCGCACTGCCATGCCTAGGTGGGGGCACGCGGCGCGGCTGTTGATGCAGATGGCGGCCGGGCCGCGGTCGAGCTCGTCGAAACGTCGCAGTTGAAGCCAGAGGGAGAGCGCCATTCGGAGTGCGGGGAGCCCCGGACGTCGAGCCGGGGCCCTCCTTAGCTACTCCGGATTTCATAATCAAGGGGGGGTTTATTGACCTCCACGACAAGCCATTTTAGACCCCCCCCGTCGGGAATGACCTGCGCCAAAAAATAGCCCCCCTCCCTGGGCGTGCCCGGACGAAGCGATCCAGACCCCCCCCAGAGGGCCGCCGCGGCGAACAAAACGACCAAGACAGCTTCAACCAGACCCCCCTCACATGTACACCCCCCCTTTCCTGTGAAATCCGGAGCAGGCTTGTCTGGAGGGATCTTGCTGCTTGCCCCCAGGCTCCCCCGCTACCGTGTCCTCCTGTCCGTGTCCCTCCCGTGCGCCTCGCTCGCGTGCCCGCTCGCCTCCGGTGCCCTTCGCGCTGCCATCGCTGTTCCCAGGGAGCTCGAACCAGGAAGTGAATTCCGAGCGTGCTGGCTCGCTCTCTGCGCAGTGTCGTGTTGCCAGCCTAGTCTTTCTTCGAAAGTGCCAGCCCGCATCTGTTGAAGCTCGCGCTGCTGGTGCTGTTCAAATCTGTTGCCCAGAATCGGAGGGCACCAAGTACAGCGGGGGCGAACGATGAAAAGTACCTCCCTCCGCGGGGGGAGTGGCCTTCATGATATTGTGTAGGGCAGACGAATCAAATCTGGGGGGGCGAAGCTGTCTTTTCATCATCCCCCCGCCAGTTTTTTTCGGGCGTCGCGTTGGCCGTCGTCATCCCGTCAGTCGTCATGCCATCGTCGTCGTTGTCGTCGTCGTCGTCCGTCGTCGCCCGTCGTCGCCACAGGGCTGCAGGACGCCCGCGCAGCACCCCCCTCTTACCTTACATGCCATCCGCAAAGGGCCGTCGTCTTCGTTGTCGTCGGTTGTCGTCGTCCCCAGGGGCTGCAAGCCGCCTGCGCAGTCCCCCCCTATGAACCATCCGCAAAGACCGTCGTCGTCGTCGTCGTCGTCGTCGTCGTCGTCGTCGTCGTCGTCGTCGTCGTCGTCGTCGTCGTCGTCGTCGTCTGGTCGTCGTCGTCCCCCAGGGCTCCTGGACGCTCGCGCCAATTGAATCGGGGTCGACTACAGAATTGATTTGCTCCAAACTTGGTTCCCCTGCGGAAAATGCAAGAAGCACCTAGAGTGTTCGTTGATCAGCGGGACATGTTTTGTAGATGCAGCGGGAAAGCAAATCTTGGGGTAAATCATTTCCGCAGTCGATCCCCTACTCGAGCCAAGGCAGCAAGGGGGGGGGTGCTCCCGACCAGTCCGGACAGCCAACCCCGCCGCTCCGAACTGTCAGCCCTCCTCGGGCGTCCCCTGGGACTCCCAGACGGGCCGGGGGAGCCAACCAGAACCGTCCGCCCTCCCCGGGCCGGGCCCCATGGCCCGCCGCTGTTTTGGGGGGCCCACGGGGCCGGCGGCGATTAAAAAAAAACCCCTCCCCCCAGAATTCTTTCACCACCGTCCTCACCACGACTCTTTCCCCCCAGAATTCTGTCCCCGCCGTCCACACCACAAAACTCTTTCCCCCAAAAGATTCTTCCCCCCCCCCAGAATTTTTTAGAGACCCTCCCCCCTAAAACTCTGTCCTCGCCGCCATCGCGCCTGCACCGGCCCTGGCCCGGCCGATCCTGGGCTCGGGATCGGAGCGTGCGTCTGCGCCCTCGTCTCCCAGGCTGGGAGGGCGCTGCGCGCCGATCCCGGGCCCGGGGGCGGGCCCGGCCAGGGTCGCCGTGCCCACCGGTCGCCGAAAGCAGGCATTTCTGGAGTTCCCGATTCCAGTCTGCTCCCAGCGCCTTCCCACTTCCAGGGTCGAGTGGTTTTCCCTCGTCCCTCCTCTTCGGGAGGCGGGCGGAAAGGCAATCTATTCCCGACGCCTTCCTACGTGCTTCTGCCTACTTCTTCCGACCGATGGGCAAGTGTGTGGCTGGCGCCCTCCTGGGCAAGTTCCACTGCAATTCGGGCTGCCAGTGTTGCCGTCGGAGCCCTTGCTCCAGGCGTGCCGGGTCATCTCCGCAGCGTGGCGCCCCTTCCTAGAGTGTGGGCGCGCCTGCGGTCGCGAGGGGTCGTGGGCTTCCCTGTGCGCTCAGGCAGCAAGCTGGCTTCCTGTTCTCTTTGCCTTCCTCGTTCCTTCATATTTTTATGGCTTTTTCCCTACCTAGGCTCTGCCTAGAAGGGTTCTTACTCTCTTAGCTTAAAGGGGCCGGGCAGTGCTAAGCGCCCCGGGCGGTTCCCCCAGTCCCCGCCCCGCGGTTCCCCTCAGTCCCCTGGGAGCTTTAGCTTTAGCTTTAGCTTAGCTTTAGCTTAGCTTTAGCTTAGCTGTAGCTTAGCTTTAGCTTAGCGTTTCGCTTAGCTTTTCGCTTAGCGTTTAGCTTTAGCTTAGCTTAGCTTTAGCTTAGCTTTAGCTTAGCTTGAGCTTAGCTATAGCTTAGCTTTAGCTTAGCTTTAGCTTAGCTTTAGCTTAGCTTTAGCTTAGCTTTAGCTTAGCTTTAGCTTAGCTTTAGCTTAGCTTTACCTTAGCGTTAGCTTAGCTTTACCTTAGCTTTAGTTCAGCTTTAGCTCAGCTTTAACTTAGCTTTAGCTTAGCTTTAGCTTCAGCTTCAGCTTAACTGTAGCTTAGCTTCAGTTTAGCTTCAGCTCAGTTTTAGCTTAGCGTTAGCTTAGCTTTAGCTTAGCTGTAGCTTAGTTTTAGCTTAGCTTTATATTAGCGTTAGCTTAGCTTTAGCTTATCTTTAGCTTAGCTGTATCTTAGCTTTAGCTTAGCTGTAGCTTAGCTGTATCTTAGCTTTAGCTTAGCTTTAGCTTAGCGTTACTGTTACTGCTAATGCTGCTTCCCTAGGGGCTCCAACTCCTAGGTAGGGTCACACTGGGATATTTTTTTCGGTACTTCGGAGATCATGGGATCCTTGCGTACCCTAGTTCCGCCTTTGGAATACGTTCGCATTGGTTATCGTTTGGATTTCGATGCCCAGGCGAGTTGCCCTGAACCAGTCCATCCAGAACCGATGCCCAGGCGAGTTGCCCTGATCATGATTGGAGCCTGGGGAAGCTGGCGTACCCTGAGAAAGGGGAGGATGGAGGAGGAGGAGGAGGAGGGAGAGGAGGAGGAGGAGGAGGAGGAGGAGGAGGAGGAGGAGGAGGAGGGGGAGGAGGAGGAGGAGGAGGATGCGGAAGAGGAGGACGAGGAGGAGGAGGAGGGGGAGGCGGAGGGAGAATGTGATGGGGAAGGAGAGAGTAGGGGGGAGGAGGAAGAGGTGGATCATTGATGATGATGCTGATGCTGATGATGATGATGATGATGATGATGAGGATGATGAGGATGACGAGGATGATGAGGATGATGATGATGATGATGATGATGATGATGATGATGATGATGATGATGATGATGCTGATGATGGTGATTATGATAATGGTACTGGTGCCGCTGATGATCATGATCATGATGATACCGCGACTTGTCGGCATTTGTGGTGCATGTGTGGCCGTATCCCTGTGCTCAAGTTCTTGAGGGAATGCAGGCCCTGTTCGAACGCCTTTCGCAGGATCTCGCCAGTGCCCTTACCACTACCATCATCGTCCGCGGGAGTTCGGTCCCGTGCCCCGATTGTGATTGTGTGTGCTCTCCTGCGCTCCACTGCCCTGCGCTGGAGTGCCGCTGCCCCAGCGGCGAAGGCTTGCTCGCGGCGAGCGCGCCCGCTGGCTGTTCGATGGGCTTTGTGACGGGCGCGGTGATCGTCGCGCTAGGCCTCGGCGCGCTGGGCGGCGGCTGCGTGGCAGCCAAGGTGCGGCGCTCGGGGTCTGCGGGCGGACCGCCAGGCCTTCTGCGCTTCAAGGAACCCCAGCCCGTCCTCGACCTGGCGTCGGCAGCCGCCACTCAGGCTTGCAGCTTTCGCCGTAGCTAGGCAGAATGGCGGGGCCCGTTTCAGGTCAGTTCCACCTCGTGCGATACAACATCGGCGGTCCCGCCATCTACCACGAGCGGCTGACGCTGCTGCCTGGCTACATTTTCACGCCCTACGGCGACCACTACGCCGAGGGCAGCGTTGCGAGTCGCGACATCCGATCCGTGCACATTCTCTAAGTGGCCAAGGGGAGGGCTTGCCTGGAGTTCTAGCCAACCACCTGTACCAGTTTCGGCAGCTTCCTCCAGCAACTGATGTGTGGTCCGCGCTGCGGCGCGCTTCAGCTCAAGGGTTTGGACTCCTGCCAGCTTCCCCGTTCTGCATCGACCTCAGCGGCACGAGCGTTCTGGGGCTTGCTGCGGGGCCGCTCGCGCTGCCCGACCCGCTGGCGCCCGTGGCGGCCGCTGCTGGTGGGCCCGCGGCCCCCGCGCTGCCTGCCCCAGTCGGCGGCGCGGCGCCGCCGGCGGCGGGCGCCCTGCCGGCTGCTGCGGCCCCCGCACCGCTGCCTGCGCTGGCGGCGCCGCCTGCCGCAGGAGCACCTCGGCGGCGGCGGCCTTGGCGCGCTGGCGGCGGCGCTTGGCGGCGTCGCGCCCGCGCCCGCGGCGGCTGTCGCAGTCCCCCCTGGCGCTGGCGGCGGCGCCGCCCTTCCCGTGGCGGCGGCAGCTGGCGGCGACCCCCGCGTGATGGCCCTCGTCCTCGACGGCCGCGGCTTTCGCGACATCAGCTTCAGCGACGCGGTGAAGCTCCAGGCGGAGACGGTACGCGCCGTCTGGCCCGTGAAGGGCCCGAGGGCGCTGCTCTGGGTCCTCGGCTTCACGCGGCGCATGGCAGGCGGTGCCATGGCCTGGCGCAACCGCTGGCTAGCGATGATGCCGCTCAGCGAGCACGACGAGAACGTGAAGCTGCATGAGACGCTCTGCCGCGTCATAGAGACCGCCCTCTGCCGCGACCAGCTGGTGATCTGCGAGCTCGCCTCGTATGAGTACCTCGCCCGCCAGCTCCGGAGCGCGTGTTCGAGGAGCGGTCGAGGAGG